ATACCCTTTGACCCAGGAATTCCACTTCTAGGAATTTACCCTAAGAATGCAGCAGCCCAGTTTGAAAAAGACAGATGCACCCCTATGTTTATCGCTGCACTATTTACAATAGCCAAGAAATGGAAGCAACCTAAGTGTCCATCAGTAGATGAATGGATAAAGAAGATGTGGTACATATACACAATGGAATATTATTCAGCCATAAGAAGAAAACAAACCATTTGCAAAAACATGGATGGAGCTAGAGGGTATTATGCTCAGTGAAATAAGCCAGGCAGAGAAAGACAAGTACCAAATGATTTCACTCATATGTGGAGTATAAGAGCAAAGAAAAACTGAAGGAACAAAACAGCAGCAGAATCACAGAACCCATGAATAGACTAACAGTTACCAAAGGGAAAGGGACTGGGGAGGATGGGTGGGAAGGAAGGGATAAGGGGGGGGAAAGTGGGCATTACAATTTGCATGTATAATGTGGAGGGGGTATGGGGCGGGCTCTACAACACAGAGGAGACAAGTAGTGATTTTTCAGCATCTTACTACACTGATGGACAGTGACTGTGAAGGGGTGTGTTGGGGGGACTTGGTTGGAGGGAAGCCTAGTAAACATAATGTTCGTCATCAATAAGCAATAATTCAGTCTTCTTTGTATATTGAGAAACTACAGCAGAGTATGTATACCATTTGAAATCTCAGATGCCAGAAGATAAATCACTTTGAAATTGAATAGATTATTTTGTATAACCTGGGGAAAATATTGATAGGAAAATACTTCCAAAATACGTTTGGGAAAATCTCCAGGAAAATTATCCAAGTTTCAGCTTATTAACTGATAGCACTAATAATAACATTTATATATACACTTTTTAAATTGCATGCTATTCTGAGTCATACACACACAATCCATTTATTTACTCTTCATAGTGACTCTAAAAAGTACACAGGTACTATTATTATTTTCATTTTAAAGATAATGCATTGAATCTAGACATTCTCTTTGCAGAATCTCTACTGTTAAACAAAACCATTTTGTCTTTACAAATTCTATTTTACTTGACATTCCTAAAGAATAAAGGCTTCTAACCTAGGCCTTAGAACTCTGAGTACAAAAAAATAACCTAAAGACAAAATCGGAGTGTTATGTTTTATATTTTTACTACTCTTGAAAAAAGCATATAAATTATGAGGTAAGTTACTATGATATCATTTAGAGTTTAGGACAGTAATACAATGATCCTATAGCTTTTTATATATATTTCTATAATGATACACACATTTATCACATTGAGGCAGTTAGATATTTAGATGTCTGTAACATGCTGTATTAATCACCATATGATAATCGGTTTTACAATCTAATAAATCTTTGTGAAGACACTGTACTTTAAAAATGAAGGAATAATTTGTAATGAGTAATAATGCCCAAAAATCCTTCTTGGGAAATATGTAACTGTACTTTGCCAACTGTACTCCTCAACCTGGTCTGTGAATGGAGAGGTCCAGAATATTAGCCCCACCTTGTGGATCAAGGCAGTACTTAAAAAACAGAGAACTATCAAAGTGTTTCTTATTTTAACTGACAAAAACTAAAGAAATTTGTAACAAAACTACCATTGGTGAGGAAGCATTTTCATATACTGCTGTTGCTCATATCAAATGGTACATTTTTGGAGACAAATTTGCAAAAACAATAAAAACTGTTAACGTAAGTAACCTTCTATTCAAAATTCATTACTAGAAATTTATACTATAGAAATATTTAAATTAAGAAACATGTATATAACAAGGTTATTTACTGCAGCACTGCTCTTAGGAGTGAAAAATTAGAAACGACCTAATGTCAATGTTGATACAGCAAACAGTATTTAAGAACAATAACAATGATGACAACAGCTAATAGCAAGTGCTTAATATCAGGCAGGCACTATTCTTAGTTTGGCAGTAAAGCCCTGTCAGTGAACACCATGCTGTATCATTCTTAGAATGAAGTATACATACATCCTCATTTGGAAGAATGCACATTAGACCCAATTAAATGAAAAGACTCAAATTCAGAACTACATAGTATTACTCCATTTAAAAATATATATGCTTATCGATGTATAGAAAAAAGCCTAAAGGACTACAAACATCAAACTGTGAACAGTGATCACACCTGAAGACTGGGATGAGTGTGAGGAGAAAGGAGATGACTTTTTACTTTACACAGTATTGCTTGAATTTTTCACATTAGTATATACCAGATTCATATATAAAAAGCACACAATTTTAAAAAATAACTTAATCAGAGTCTTTAAAATAACTTTAACTAGTTTAAGGGAAGTTTTTCAAAAGCAGGAAGAGGTAACTTCCTATATGCTGAGGCCAATGCACAGTTAATAAAAGCACATATGAATAGTCATTAGAGTATGGGAGAAAATATTTGTAAACCATCTATCTGATAAGGGGTTAATATCCAAAATACATAAATGCTTCAACACCAAAAATGCAAATAAACTGATTAAAAAAATGGACAGAGGACCTAAACAGGCATTTTTCCAAAGAAGAAATACAGATGGCCAACAGGCATGTGAAAAGATGCTCCACATCACTAATTATCAAGGAAATACAAGTCAAAACAACGAGGTATCACCTCACACCAGTTAGAATGGACACTATCCAAAAGACAAGAAATGACAAGTGATGGCGAAAATGTGAAGAAATGGGAACCCTTCTATGGTATTTGTAGGAATATAAATTGGTGCAGCCACTGTAAAAAGCAGTATGGAGGTTCTTCAAAAAAACCATTTAACTCAGTAATTCCACTTCTAGGAATTTACCTGAAGAAAACAAAATCCCTGATTCAAAAAGATATATGCATGCCTTTGTTTATCACTTCATTATTTACAGTAGCCAAGATATGGAAGCAATCAAAGTGTTCATCAATAGATGAACAGATAAAGAAGATGTGGTACTTATACACAATGGAATATTATTCAGCTATGAATAAAATCCTGCCATTTGCAACAACATGGATGGATCTAGGGCATATTATGCTCAGTGAAATAAGCCAGGTGGAAAAAGACAAATATTGTATGATTTCACTTATTTGTGAAATATAAAAACAAAACAAACAGAATGAACAAAGTAGCAGTAGACTCAGAGACAGACACTGAGAAGTGACTAGAGAAGACACTAAGACACATAGAAATTAATATGGATTATATGGTTACTACAGGGGAGGTGTTGGGGTGATAAAGGAACCCAAAAATTCTCAATCATATTATGAGTTGGTCACAGGGATGGTAGTACAGCATGGTGAATATAGTCAATGATTCTGTTATATCTTCTTACATTGGCAGATAGTAACTGCACTAGTGGGGTTGAAGATTTACTAATACGGGTAAGTGTTGAACCCGTAGTGTTGTATATTTGAAACCAATATAAGATTGTGTATCAACGATACTTCAATTTAAAAAATTATATTGCAAACAAAATAAATTCTTGTCATTATATAACCATTTTTATTTCAAGATTTTAGTCAGGTTATATAGTATAATAATAATCTTTATTATAGTAGTTTAGTATTTTAGTAAAGTTAGTGATGTCATAAAGAATTAAATTAAAAATCCCAGGTAAACAGTCCCCGAGACCTAGGTTAATAGTGTATTGATACTGCTATGTATCTGTTACTATTCATTATAAAATACCAGAAAAATTACCTTGGTGTTCTTCTAAATCCATGTCAAGTTGTCTAATTTCTTCATTGAAGCGATTTATTTTTTCTTTTATATCTGATAACCTGTTGAAATATTATTGAATGATATTCACCAAAAATATTTAATGATATTACGAAATCTTAAATCTTTTCTGTTTTCAGAGTCAATATCTGCAAGTAATATGCCTTATTCTGAGGATAGCACTATAAATTTATAGAGAAAAAATATTTTCTAGATATTTTTTCATGACTTATATTTGGAGTACAAATATACTCTGAGAATGTAGAATGACTTCCACAGTGAACCCTTCCCCAGCCTTCTGCTGAGCTTGACTTTTGATATTAGGAAAGTGAAAAATCTTAAGCAATCTTCTATTTGTAAGTTTGTACAAACTGAACTAGGTTGGCAAATTAGTCTCAAAAATTAGAAAATAAGAAAATTTACCACTGATAGACGATTATATGAGTTAAAATTTCAACAAAAAGCAGTTGTACTTATTATTATGAAGCTACAGTAATCAGGATAGTGTTGGTCTGGTATAAGGATAGACATATAGCAATGGAAAAGAACTAAGAGTCCACACATAAGACCCTCTATCTACACAACTGATTTTTGACAAAGATGTCAGAACAATTAAATGGAGAAAGAATATTAAGTAATATTTGTTGAAAGAATATTTTCACAAATGTTGCTTGGACAGCTGGAGATACACAAGCAAAAAAATTAAATTAGAATCTTACCTCATATTACATACAAAAGTTTAACTGAAAATAGATCACAGATCTAAATGTAAAAAATAAACTATAAAACTTACAATAAAACAAGGCATAAATCCTTACGACCTTGGATTAGTCACTGGTTTCTTAGATATGACATCAAAAGCATAAGCAACAAAAGATGCAATAGGTAAACTAAACATTATCAAAATTTAAAACTTTTGTGCTTGAAGGATACTATCAAGAAAATTAAAAGACAACCCAAAGAATGGGAGAAAAATTTTGCAAATCATTTATCTGATAAGAAACCTGTATCTCGAATATATGAAGAACCCTTATAATTCAATAATAAAAAAATAACCCAATTTAAAAATGGGCAAAAGGATAGGTATTTGTCCAAAGACATATACATTGCCAATAAATAAGCACAGTATAAGAAGCTCAACATCATTGGGAAATAGAAATAAAAACCATTATGAGATACCACTTCATACCTGGAAGGATGGCTCTGATCAAAAAAGATATATACTTACATGCATTGGTGAGGATATAGAGAAACTGGAACCCTCATACACTGCTGGTAGAAATGTAAAAGAGTGCAACTACTTGGAAAATAGTCTAGCAGTTCCTCAAAAAGTAAAATATAGAGCTACTATATGACCCAGCAATTCCACTCCTAGGTATATACCCCCAAAAAGTGAAAATATGTCCATCTAAAAACTTGTATGTAAATGTCACAGCAGCATGATTTAATATAGCCAAAAAAATGTAAACAATCCAAATGTCCATCAGTTGATGAATGGATAAATAAATATGGTACCCCAAACAGTATAATATTATTTGGCAATAAAAAAGATGAAATACTGATACATGCTACAACACAGATGAACTTTGAAAACATTATGCTAAGTGAAAGAATCCAGCTATATAGGATCATATATTGTATGATTCTATTTATATGAAATATCCAGAAGAGGTCAATCTACACAGACATATAATAAGTGGTTGCCTAGGGCTGGGAGTTGGGGATGAGATGGGTGATAGAAGTGGTGTGGGGGTCTTATGAGGATGACTGAACAGTTCTAAAACTGACTGAGGTGTAGTTGCACAACTTCGTGAATATACTAAAAACCTCTAAATTGAACACTTGAAATATGTGAATTGTATGGCATATATTATATCTTAATAAGCTGTTTTTAAAAATCAATTATACTATGCAATGGCTCTTAACTAAATATTCAAAGAAATATTTAAAGCTATAAGACTGAAAGTTATTCACATATTAACATTGTGGACTATAGGAAAAAATGACTATAACCATATGCTCCTATTGCACACTTAGAATGTAATCTAAAGGTTGAGAAATGGATATAAAATGTCCTGGTATAAATGTACTTACTGTCGCTCCATGCTGGCTATTTCCTGATTATCTTCTTTAACCTATAAAGGTAAAAAAAGAAAACAGCATTTAAATACTCCTTGTAGGCTATCTTAAAAAGAATTTCCTTATAAGGCATGTTGTACTAAAATGTCAAATATAACCTCTTTCTTGAAACTTATTTTTAAAATTTAGCCTTTCGAGTTAAAAAGAGCATCATTAAGGAACTAGTGGTGACTAATATATCCATACCTATGCACAAGGCACCATGAGGATAACACAACTTCAGTCCTGGATCAGTTTATGTAAACATCTAGGACTTCTGAGACTGTCTCCCCATCCACCCCAATATACACACACACAAGGTAGGTTTGTCAGATTTAGCAATCTCTGTTACATCTGAATTTCAGATAAATAATGAATAATTTTTAGAGTATATACATATATACCATGCACTATTTGGAATATATTATCATCCTTACATAAATACTTATTCTAAAAGATTATTCACTGCTTATTTAAAATTTAAATTGAACTAATTGTTCTGTATTTGATCCAGCAATCCTATCTCAAGATCACTCTCTCCAATGATCCATTTCCAAGGTACTTCAGAGTCTAGATTTTAATACTTTTGGAGAAGGATTCTAAAATTTAAATAGCTCATGAGTTGATCCCTAAGGTTCTTCCAAAGCCAGTTGGGTTCAATGCAAAGGAGTCCCATTTGTAGGTTCCTGACTGGACCTGTTTATAAATAAATAAGCAATTCTCCTTAAGGGTCCTATAGTTAGGATGTCTCAGGATAAACAGGTTAACTCTAACTTAGGGATAAATTGAAGTCAGCTTGTAGTAGTGAGAAAGCTCCTGAATATACATGACAGGACCTTGTAACATTGTGATTTCACAGAACATTTCAATTCCATTCACTGTGTGGAGGCACTGATAGCAGCAACCACAAAAATGCATTAGCCTTGGGGCCTTCATTTTCTAAACATGCAGTCCAAAAGAAATAACAGAACGTATATTCAATAAGATGATCTAATTATTTACTGGACAATAAAAAAAGACTTTCATGTTTTCCTTATAAGGATACAAAACATGAAAAAAGGCCAGAATTTGTATGAAGACTATATAAAATTACGATTTTGGTCAAATAACAGTTTATGTGAGAAATGACTTTTACCTAGATTTTCTTGCTCAAGTACTTCATATTAATTTAGGTGAAGCTCATTTTTCACTGCTTAAGAAAATAAACTTATTAACTTTCTGTTCAATTCACATGCCTTAAATAAAACAAATCAATATATTTACCAAATCCTGACATATTAAAATAAGTATATATTTTTTTCCTACCTGCTTAAGCAATCTTTCTCTATCTTCCATTGGAGATCCCATGCTTTTGTCTTCTGCAATCATTTGATCTCGATGGGACTCCAATTCATAAAGTTTTTCATGCAGCAATACAGCTTCCTGTTTCATCTGGGAGTGTGCTATTTCCTGTAGGCAACAAAAAAAGGAAAAATTTAATTAGTATTTTATCAAATACTATTCACAAATAGATTTCAGTTTATAAGAATAAGGACAGATTTAAATCACCAGTACCTTTAAATAAAGATATCAAATATCTACAGTACTCAATAATGCTACAAAGCATATTTCTAAACTGCAAGAATAAAAATAAATCCCTGTGTATTTTCATAAGCTATTTTCAACCTAAGATTCATAAGAAGGTGGCAGCATTACTTTATTTTCTAAATATAAAATTTGAACAGACAAGGACATCCCTAACAATGGGAAGATAGCAAAGAAAATGTCATAATATCAGTACTTTAGTACTTTAACCACAATATCCAATTCAAAGTCCAAAGAACTGATCTCTAGATGGAAGATATTTTCCCCTGAAGAGGTCATATGTACATACTTTTCCACAGTCTTATGGGTTGAACTATATCTCTTCAAAAGATTACTCAGCCCCAAAAAAGAATGATGTCTTGTCATTTGTGAGAACATGGATGGACCTAGGAGGTATTATGCAAAGTGAAATAAATCAAGGATACAAATATCATATGATTTCACTTGTACATGGAATCTTAAAAAAAAAAAACCAATCAAACAAACAAACAAAATATAAAAATTGATGGTTACATAGGGGACAAGATGAGGGGATGGGTAATCAAGTGAAGGGGATAAAGTGGTTCACAAAATTCTTTTCTGGGGCTGAGTAATCTTTTGAGGAGATACAGGTCAAACCAAAACATTGTAGAAAAGCACGTACATTCAGGTTCAAGCTTCCAATTATAAAATAAGTAAGTCAAGGAGATAAAAAGTATAGCATAGACATATACATAATAGAATACTATTCAGCCATAAGAAAGAAACAAACCCTACCATTTGCAACAACATGGACTGAGCTAGAGGGTATTATGCTCAGTGAAATAAGTCAGGCAGAGAAAGACAAATACCAAATGATATCCCTCATTTGTAGAGTATAACAACGAAGCAAAATTGAAGGAATAAACATAAGCTCCAAGAAGGGACTAGTGGTTATCAAAGGGGAGGGGTGGAGGGGGGAGGGTGGGGAGGGGGGGAAAATGGGATTGAGGGGTATTATGATTAGTACACATGGTGTGGAGGGGATCATGGGGAAGACAGTGTAGCACAGAGAAGACAAGTAGTGACTCCGTAGCATCTTACTACACTGACAGACAGTGACTGCAATGGGGTATAGGGGGGACTCGATAATATGGGTGAATGTAGTAATCACATTGTTTTTCACATGAAACCTTCATAAGAGTGCATATCAATGATACTGTAATATAAAAGAAATATATAAAGCTGGAAGAAAATTGTTGCATTATTTAAGGGCTTTAATCACATATAAAGGTAAATGGATAATAAAAGATAATTACAGGACAAAAAAAGTACAGTATAGGTTATATAGTAAACAATATTGTAATATCTTTGTATGGTGACAGATGGTAACTACACTTACCATGGTGAGTGCTTTGTAACATAAATAATTGTTAAACCATTATGTTGTACTCCTGAAACTAATATATTGTATGTCAACTATACTTCCATTAAAAAAAAATCTTCAGGCAGAGCCAAGATGGCTGCGTGAGTAGAGCAGTGGAAATCTCCTCCCAAAAACACATAGAGCTATGAAAATATAACAAAGAAAAATCTTCCTAAAATAGAGACCACAGGACACAGGACAACATCCAGACCACATCCACACCTGCAAGAACCCAGCGCCTTGCGAAGGGGGTAAGATACAAGCCCCGGCCCGGCGGGACCCGAGCGCCCCTCCCCCCGGCTCCCGGCGGGTGGAAAGAAACCAGAGTGGTTTTTTTTTTTTTTTTGGCGAGTGCTTTTTGGAAGCCTTAAAGGGACAGGGACCCCGTTGCTAGGGAGGCAGGGTGGCGGGACAGGTGAGCGGGTGCCTGGGACCGGCACTTGAGGAAGAAGGAAATCGCGCGTTTTTCCCCTTTTTTTTTCTCTTTTTGGCGAGTGCTTTTTCGAAGCCTTAAAGGGACAGGGACCCCAGTGCTAGGGAGGCAGGGCGGCGGGACTGGTGAGCGGGTGCCTGGGACTGGCGCCTGAGGACAAAGAATATCCCGCGATTTTCCCTGCGGGACCAGTGGGCGGGTGCCTGAGACCGGCACTTGAGGATGGAGGAAATCGCGCATTTTTCCCCTTTTTTTCCCTCTTTTTGGCGAGTGCTTTTTGGAAGCCTTAAGGGGACAGGGACCCCAGTGCTAGGGAGGAAGGGCGGTGGGACTGGTGAGAGGGTGCCTGGGACCGGCGCCTGAGGACAAAGAATATCCCGCGTTTTTCCCTGCGGGACCGGTGGGCGGGTGCCTGAGACCGGCACCTGAGGACGGAGGAAATCGCGTGTGTTTCCCCTTTTTTTTTTTTCTTTTTGGAGAGTGCTTTTTGAAAGCCTTAAAGGGACAGGGACCCTGGTGCTAGGGAGGCAGGGCGGCGGGACTGGTGAGTGGGTGCCTGGGACCAGCGCCTGAGGACAAAGAATATTGCGCGTTTTTCCCTGCGGGACCAGTGGGCGGGTGCTTCTTCGAAGCCTTGAAGGGACAGGGACCCTGGTGCTAGGGAGGCAGGGCAGCAGGATCAGTGAGCGGGTGCCTGGGACGGGCGCCTGAGAACAAAAAAAAAATCATGTGTTTTTTCCTTTTTTTTCTGTTCCCTCTTTCATTGTGGCTGTTGTTGTTTTGGTTTGGAGAGTGCTTTTTGGGAGTCTTAAAGGGGCAGGACAGGTCACTTAGACCAGAGGCAGGGAATCTGGGATCTCTGGGCACACTAACCCCATGGGCAGCAGGGAGCACAGCGGCCCCTTATGGAGATAAATAGCCTCCCAGCCACTCCCCCTCCAACGGGGCTCCACCACTTTGGAGTAGCAGCCCGAGCCAGGCCACGCCCACAGCTACAGCGGAGATAAACCCCATAGCAACTGGGCAGGAAGCAGAAGCCTTGTCTGCACACAGCTGCCCAGCACAAGCCACTAGAGGTCGCTATTCTCCCAGGTGAGGAAAGCCACAAACCAACAAGAAGGGAAGCTCTTCCAGCAGTCACTTGTAACAGCTCTGCACACTATCTCTATCACCATGAAAAGACAAAACTACAGGCAGACAAAGATCACAGAGACAACACCTGAGAAGGAGACAGACCTAACCAGTCCTCCTG